ACGTGGAGTCCATCGCAATCATAACATCGTTTAGCTGGAACATGTGACTTCAATAGTCTTTGTTTTCTTCTATTTTACCTTGATTACACATTGATACATTATATTTAATTTAACCCTTTGAGTACCGTTTAAAGAACAATAGGTTGCGGTCACCGGTGTCTTCGCGGTGTTTGACAGTTTCAAAGTACGCACCGGGTATTTCTAAAAATCTTTCTTGGAATTATGGTTTGAATAAATATATAACTACCGCATTTTAGATTCGAAAGTTAAAACAAAGGTTGATTTGGTACGCAAAAATAAAAATTACCAACAAAAAACATGAAATGCTAACGATCTCGTTCTCCAGCTCGTAATGAAAATACTTTTCAATTTCATCGTGAAACGAACCAGCAAATTCCGGCCTAAATATTCGGGCGGCGGAAAGCATTTGTGCGACCTTCAGCGGCTTCAGCCATATTAGACCTCACTCCCACGCGAGCAAGCCACCACAATATTCATAACGTTCCTTTCATTCCAATCTTTTGAATCCTTATAATATACGGTACGGCCGGTATTACGTATCGATTGAAAAGCTCGGCCTTGCCCTATTTTCGTCATGGCCGGCCAATGTCAGTGTCGAAGTGAAACCTTGTCCAAGGATCATTTTCATGGTTCGTGTTTTTGACGCAATGACGTCAGAGTCAGATGTTTTGTTTACACGCTAATTCCAGATGTTTACAGCTGCTAAACCAGTTTTGGAGGTGTTACGTAAAATTATACCTAATCACTATATAATATCTACACTACTACTACATAGTAGACGTCTATCTTAATGTATGCGATTGTTATAAAGTTCAGAACTCCTGTCGCATATTTTAATAAAATTATAATTCGGGTACTTTGACAAATTCATTCCGTAAAATCTTTTGCAGATTTCTTTATCGATCTTTACAACTTAATTTCTATATTATGCTTAAGTACGCCATAAAATATTATAAATCGGCTGACAAGTAGAAAAATGGCTTCCTACTGCTTAAGATTAGCACCTACGAGGAAACCTTAGAAAGATAATCTTTTGTCTAGACTTAAGCTAAAAATGTCAGTTCTCTCTCGGGGCAAGGACAATGGAATTATCGTCAAGCCATCAGCTGTTTATGACTGAGCCGTAACAATTATGTAAATTAGCGATCATGAACGTGCTTTGCTTTTACTTGACATAGAGATTTTCTGAATAAATTTATTTATTAATAGTTCGTAGCTGCAGTTATAGATACGATTACCTCATGCAATGCATGGCACTAGCATAGTTTGTACTTTGGCCACTATTTTCAGCACAATTCAAGGAAAATATCAGCATTGACCTTTGTCTATTAGGATTTACCTGCCTATAGGGAAAAATTGGGGTAGCTATAATATTAGATTTTATTCGAGAAGTCATCGAACTTACTTAGCAGCAATAGCGCGCTCAATAAGGCCCGCTGTCGACGCCCACGCCTCAAGAGTATGGTGGCTGAGGTGCCACATCTTCGATTTTCAAGGAAGCAGGTCCGATATCACTTTTATCTAATTGTATGTTTGTATGTCTTTACGCAAATACTTTGAAAAAATTCCACTAGGTACTTTAGCAACACTTCGATCGTATGATAAAATGATAACTTTATCGACGATACTTATCTCACCGGCTTCACTTGACAACGTGGACTCAAGGCAAGATGTTCTATTTTATACTTCGACTTACTTTCCAAAACTGACCTCTTATAAGTAAAAGAAAAATATCGTTATAAAAATTTGAGGGTAGTCCGAATTTATTTAAACCTATACGGTCAGCATTAAAATTACCTACTGAACACTGTTTATAAAGTAAATAATTAGCATTTTAACGATCAGAGGCGCACGAGTCTAGAAAAACACAATTATCAAACAATATGTACCTAGGTACATCGAATATGTATGTGTAGTTATTGTAAAACGGAATTAAGCAACTGAAATTCTGAAGCTCTCTTATAATGTATAACACTTACCTGCTCTCCCATTGAAGAATCGAAAAAAGTATGTAGGCTAGTGTGAAAACCAGGAAAACCCTGATCCACCTCCTCGGAACCACTTGTAGCAGCAATGATATCATTGTAGAACTTTCGCGAACGGTGCCTTTATCGGTCACTTAGCGTGGTACTCAACTAGTTATCAACAATTTCCAGTACCTATCTTTAGGATTATGATATTATCAACGTGTTTTTTTGTAACGTGGACGATCGTGCCTTACTTTCGTTTACATAGGCGTGTCTAATGTAAAAATTATGAAACTGATACCTAATTAAATTGTAGCTAATAATACCATGTTTTAAAAGAACGCTTGACAACGCATAAAGGGTATTCTTTTGTGTTATAAGTACTGAAGTTTACGTTTTTGTAGAAGCATCCTTTTACTAGTACCTACTTACATAAATAAATATAATATTGTGAAGAGTAGGTATATCAGGATACCTACTATTAAAGTTTATCGTACCTACATATATTTAGAGTTCTCGCCTTATACTATGAAGTTTGTCGCGGAGAACCTAACGGGTTACCGGGGCTCCGGCTCGACGTGCAGAGGAAGGAACGGGGTGGTTTTTAGTTAGTAAGAGTCTGACACTCCCTCCAGCCTCACCCAGGCGGGAGAAGTCATTAAAAAAAAATACTATGAAGTTTGCAACATTGGACTAAAGCCCTATCCTACGGGACTGCCAAGCTTAAAGTATTCACATTTAAACCAAGTCTATAGTGAAGTACTAAGTTAACTATTTTTAAGAAACTTCCATGATCGTGGTTCATATATTTATTTTCTGCAGATTGTATACAAATAAGTATTCATGTTCATCCACGGGAAACCTGTTGAATAATGTTCTACCTCTTATGACGTGGGGATCAGCATTACGTTTGTGATAGTCTCCACGCTACGTGATTTAGGGATCGTCATTAATTAGTTAAGTTACTGAAAAAGAAATTGCTACCGTCTGTTTTACGGTGCCATGACAGTGTGGGTGGCTAGACTTGATTAATATTGTCAGTATGCCTTTTTGTTTTATTTTTATTTTATAAGTTTTGTAATTTGTATATTGTTCCACATAATTATGCGTACAATATTGGATAAAATATCAGAGAGATTGTAAAACATTATTTTTTAAATATCTAACGGACGGGGTTTCTCGCTCATTCTTCTCTATTAGAATCTACATTTTGGAACGAGCACCTAGATTCACTGATAGATAGACTGACGAACTATAGCGACCCGCCCCGACTTCGCATGGATGCAATATGCATTTATTATACATATAAAACTTCCTTAAGAATCACTCTATGTATTAAATGACCGCATCAAAATCCGTTGCTCAGTTTTAAAGATCTAAGCATACATAGGGACAGACAGACGGCGGGTAGCGACTTTATTTTATACTATGTAGTGATTTGTTGTCGTTTTATAACCAAATTATGGTTCAATTGAAATAAATGCTTTGACTTTGATCCATCTACATATAAAAACCCAAAAGTACCCGTTTGCTGTCACGCGGTTTCATAAAAGAACTAACCGACGTTTCTTGAAGTACCTACATTTTAGTAGTATATTATCATCTAAAACAATCATCTCAAAATCATTGACATTTTTAGAAGGAATATTGATAAATATAATCTTTACTACGAAGGTAGATAAATGTGTAATTCGCGCCTGATGTAAGATATCCGATGATTGCCACATCAACTGCTGACTTACTAAACTTGAATCAGAATTTGTGATAAACAATCAGATTATGGGAATCGAGATATTGATGACAAATGCGATGGTGACGTTTGTTCGTATTATTGCAGGAATGTGAATGTGTTGTGGTTTGTTCGTGTTGAGGTTCTTCTCGGAAGGTAGATGACGGAAGAGACTGTGGTTCGGCGTCGACCTATTGTTCTGAAGCCTCGCACAAACATTTGCAGGTGCCTTTTATACTAGGTACTTTAAACATTACCATATGTTTATATCTATGTAAAAGGCGGCTTTAACCCATTTCAGTCCTATGAATGTAATCCTTCAAACACTTACTATGTATAGGTTATATCAGAAAATTCAACCACGTATTTTACACGCAAAATAAACAAGTGACGATCGAAGTCGACACAGATATACCTATAGGTACCTAGATATTTCTACCAGTCGTACGTCAGTGCCATAACAACGACCCATATCGTACGATACTCCAACAAAAACTATCAATTTTCCTTTACGTACGTTCATAATGGCAAATGCGCAATATTGCAGGGCTATGCATTGTCCTGTTAGATTGGAGGGCGCAGTCACCATTGAAGATGAATAAGAGCAATATCCGGCCTCGCCCGCCTCTGCTAAATCTGCGTCCTCCGCTTTAGACACCAGCACTTTATACTACACCAATCTGACAAATTACTAGACATGATTTGTATCTTTATTGCTGTGGGGTTAGAGTTAAATTCTATCAGCCTTTGGCTGTTCCAGTACGGAACTGTGGGAATTTATTGCGACTAGGCTTACTCCAAGTGGTTTTAGCAGGACATCTTTATACATTACATTTTTTAAATGAATGCTAACTTTATTAGGTACACATTTTCATCATTTGTCCAAAAAAACACCGAGCATAATTTTATCGTTGACCGTTCATTCAAACTGTGGAAAACTTTTTATAAGTCACATAGGTACCTTCCGCACATGAGGTGCGCGTAGGCACCGTGAGTCACTATTAAATTGATTCATACACCGCCGAACACATTCCACGCTGAACCTTAGTAATTTTGTCAGTTAATGGCGAAATAACCAGTTTTTTCCACGAAATCTTAAGGATAAGAACATAAGGATTGTATTATACTGGTCAACACACATCGACAGTGTTGGTTGTTGTACGATCACAGAGTGACGTCATAGAAGCTACATTGTCACATTGTACTGAAACACGATAATGAGAATTTAAAAGTTTATTTATACAATACAAAGATAGACCTAATTTTTAACGTCTAAACAGGAAACCGCTAAGCCAATTTCGATGAATTTAGAATAAAGACAGACAGGAAATTAACAGGGTATGAAAATAAAATACCGAATCAAATGTAGAAATGTAAAAACAACAACATTGAATTACATAATTTTGAAAATTTTATTGTTTTACAATTATTAAGGATTTTTTATTATTCAAATATTATAGCAGGCAGAAGGAAAGTCTATGGTTTCTTAATTAGGAGTGAAGATGACTATTTTTCGGCGGCTTTATCTGTAAAGAAAAAAAGAACTAAGTGTTATAGTTAACCGGTTAAGTTATCTTCTTGCATCTAAGGTTTAAAAACCGTTAATATACAGCTAAGTGCTAATTCTAGAGGTACATTTGATAATAAATACGAGTGTTAGTGTGAGCCCTTCGATTACCTATATATTATTTTGTCGTAAATAGTAACTTTACCTGAATAATTTCGCAATGAAGTTGAAAGGGGGTGAAGGTAGGGCGGGGCGGCGGGAGGGGCGGAGTCGACTCCCGCGCAGATATGCGACACCCTACCCTTATTCTGAATGTTGAATTGTTGATCCACGCGATCGAAACGGCATTATAGTTCGATCACCTGCCAGAGAAAGGGGAATTTGTAAAACATTTAGAAAGAACATTCGAAGGTCGTTTCGCCGGTAGACTAGCTTATTTTTAGAGAGGAATTCAAAAACATTGTGTCGCAACACGATTTAGGTACCTATCTACAAAGAGGAAAATAGATAAGAAAAAACATCTCGATAAAAATGAGAATACATGAAAAAATCTATCATCGTATACATCTCCCAGCTTTGAAAGCACGCTAGTTGTATAATTTGAAAATAATTGTTTGTCTGACAATCATTACCCACATTAGCATGGCATGTTATCCGACGTGATGTGACGGCTGCACCGTAATAGGCGCGCGAGTGACTCAGCCGGCAGCCGCGTGGTCATCGACCTCGCTGCACTCACGCGCATTGACTACCAAGTGTCCAGTTTACGTCCGAAAATATAAACATGTTACTTCCGATTTTAGATCCTATGAATAAAAAGCTATAATCTATTTAATCGTGTTTTATAAAGACAATTTTAATTTCTTCTCGTAAACGTTAAATGGTAAATTCAAAGTTAATGCAAATGTTGAGGTGCATTAATAGTAAATAAATGCAAGTTGCCTAAGATTTTAGATCTTACGATGAAAAAATACATTAGCTACAATACAAGTCATGTTGCAAAAGGAGGACTTTCAATTCTACTTATACGTAATGTACCTACGTGTAATTGTAAGTTCAAAGTTAATGCCACTTTTGAGGTGAATTAGACTGTATAAAATGCTTATGTTGTCTATGTATGACGAATGTAAGATAAAAATCAGATCATGTTTGGCAGAATGTTCTAGCAATACGTCTGACATTACGACACATACTGTTGCATGTTGAGATGAATCAGAATTAAAAAGACGCTGACAAATATGTACAATTCCAAGAACTGTTGTGACATGTTCCTTGTACTACAAACTTTCATTAATTGTAAAGGAAAAATACTAATGTCAAACTGTACTATAATACCTACAGACAAGCACTTAAAGAAAAAAATATACGAGACTATAGATACTAACTATGGAGGAATATAAACCAAAATCTATACCGAATAAGAAACAATCTTGTTTGAAACATGACATGGATAGGATAAACTGATGTACAGTTTGTACTTCAATATAGTGACAGGACAGGTTGTCAGTACTTATCACTTACTGTATCAATAGTTACGTGGCCAAGTGAGGCCTGGCCTATCTGCAGATAAGCTGCTCGATATCTTCAAACTATCTTTGTATTTCAGACATCGGCTGTGTACAAAAGAATTTCTAATATCAGCATTATTTGCAATGCTGTATCACGGTGATTTTATAAATAGAATATTGAAAGAATGCGATAGAAAGGAATAAAATGGAAATGGGTATAAAGAGAAACCTAAAATTAACTGGCGGAGGGATGACCTTCCGCCTATATGAATAGGAGACAAAGTGAAGAAAAACAAACGAAAGCGTCTTTTTCTTTGTATTTCTTCACTGACTGCACGGTTGGTGCGGTGGCTGGGCAACCGGCTGCCGTGCAACATGTCGCGGGTTCGATTCTCGCGCGCAACAACACTTTGTGCGATCCATAAATTGTTGTTTCGGGTCTGGGTGTCATGTATATGTGAACTTGTATGTTTGTAAACGCACCCACGACACAGGAGATAATCCTAGTGTGGGGCAACGTTTTATTAAAAAAAAAAATTCTCATGACATTACGTCAATTATAAATGTTGAAAGATACAAAGAGGAAACCAAATCAAGGAAAAGATGCATGATCGATAAATTGGACAAGAAAAAGAAGACTAAAAATGTTAATAAAGTACTGATTTAAAAATAAATACCAGCATATAGCATTAGGTCAATTAGGTGTAAGTACTCTGTACAAAACGAAACAGTATTTTAATGAAACCACAATATTAAACTGATCAGAAACGAATGAATTACATAGATGCACATTATTTGGAGCAAACAACCGCAGTCGACATTCCTAGATCCCTCTCGATATTATACTTGTACCGTTATAATAAATGTTTCGCGGTAGCTGACTGTAGAGTGCAGGAGCAGCGCGCACGCCGTGTCGCCCAAACCACATTCTGACTCCGGCGCCATGACAGTGAAAGTGGACTCCTTTACGAGATCACCTCGTTTTTCACCCAACATCTATGAGTAGATAGTTTCGGAAAATCTAAAACGTCTACTACGCCGACGATTTCATTATATTTGATTTCAAAGTGGTGATAAAATGGTTTCTTCCAATAATAGTCAGTTATTGGAACTAGGAAGTTCAAGCGATTTGCTTGAATGACTAACTTTTAGTGCTGGTGGTACATTTCCATTCAGTTGGCTCATGAGTAATTGAGTTTAGATTGTTCATTCGTTTGTTAGGTGATATTCTGAGGTGGATAGTCCGAGTAGCCGAGAGAGACTGTTTCCTTGGTCGCAAGTGCAACTGCCGGGCATGGGGCCTCGGATTCGATTCCTGGGTCGGGCAAAGTATTACTGGATTTAAAAAAAATCTCAGTAGTAGCACGGAGGCCGGAATTGTGTCCGGTATATGGCAACAGGCTCACCTTCTATTAAATGGGACTCAAAACATAAATAGTGAAAAGTGGGTGTTCCATTGTACAGTGGCATTAAGTGCCGTAATGTGCACCTCTGCCTATCCTTACGAGGATAAAAGGCGTGATGTTATGTTATGTGATAATCCGAGTAGCCTTACTGAAGGTTACTGGTTTATTGAACTGAGCACTTACAACTGACTGCAGAGTTTATTTGTAATTTATTAAATCTGTTTTAATATTTGAATTTAATAAAATAGTATATGTTTAGAAAGACAGACTATCTTTCATCATAATGCATTTAATAAATGACATCGGCCGTTAAAACCTCAAAACCGAAAAAATAAACGAATATTCCAAGAATTTAACAAAAAATTGCGGCGGCACCACGGCATTTTGATTTGACCTGTAATCGATACAGTTTAAATAAGAAATACTTTCTCACTTTCCCAGCAGTATCGATTTACATGCTATTCAATTTATACAATGGAGGTTGTATTGTAACCGCTCTGAAAATAATCAAGATTGTTACAAGTACCTACAACTATCACCTTGATACAACTTTCACTACGATTTATTTCTTTCAAAAAAGCTACGTTCATGTCAGTAATAATATTTTATGTTAGTGCTCATAAATGTCATAAGAATATTGTTTTAAATGATTTTAGTATGTGAATAGTACTGAAGCTTCGATTCACACAATCGTCATTTCCATAAACCCATAATTGAGAGCCCAGAACAATATTTTGAGAACATAATGATTGTGTTGTAAATCATCGTTCATGTTGACGTTTGACGTGTTTAGCCGTGCCCCTATTGGCTGTGGGCCGGTGCGCTTGCGTCACTGGCTAGCACGGAGATGCGCGCGCGCCTCAACAAAACAACTTTATTTACCGAAGAATTAACTTCGCTTGGCACTTTCTGTATGGTGATTTTTTGTGCACAAACTGCCTGAAATATATTTTTAAAGTACTATTAAAATTTCTTCTAGTTCTGTTCTTTTTTGGCTTCTATAAAATATATAGGCTTCTATACAAAACGTCAGTTTACTTTTGTATTGAGGTCGAAAGAAAAGAAAGTAGATACTTAATGTTTTTTCTAGCAAAATAATAGATTACTTTACAGAAATGAAATAAGTGACACTTAAGATTCATTGTCCACTGACGGGTAGATATGCAATATAGAACCAGGAAAACTTATGGGTAGTAAATCAGCTACAAATTAAACCTGTTATTTAGGAGTCAATTAACACAATATAACAATGCAGTAGGTATTTTTAGATCCTGATTTTCCGGCTATTGACGTGATTTTATTGATTGGATCAAACAGTAAATGACTAATAACATAAACATTCGTAGGTACAGGTAAAATCTAGCTCCATAGCGACAAACAATTATATAGAAACGAATATAATTCTGTGTAGAGGAAAAATAGTAATAATATTAACTGCTTGTAGTATTTATCTTTCAATTTACCCTATGTCGTAGACGGTATGGAGATCACGTACGCCGAACAAACAAATATGTACTCAAGTCCTTTTGACATATCGTATAATTTCGAAAATATGTAGACTGAGGTAATATTTTCAGAGTGCACTTATTACGACTAATATAAATAAGTATTAATTTAAAAAAAAACTGAGTTCAACTCCCTTTGGAAGTCGCTTAATTCATATTCTAAAATTTTCTCCTAAGTGTAGGTAAGCCTTTTCTGTAAACCACATCAAAATTGGTTCAGCCAATCGCGAGATAATCGCGTACAAACATAACACAAACTAAGAATCTCCTTTTTTGAAGTCGGTTAAAAATCAATCTTAATTCAAAATTTTTGATTCGTTATCAATTTCGGTCGATATATCAAAGTGAACTGAGTACTAACTACTTTTTTTAATGGGACGAGCCCGCCACTATCTCCCAAAACCGCTGCAACTCCTGTAAGCCAGGTAAGAAGGACCAGTCATTCGATGACATCCTCCCTTAAAAAAAAGCCAGGATCTAATGTAGATACAACCATGAAAACACCGGAACACTGAAGTCCGACGCGTCCCAGGGACATGACCAACTGTCTAGGATCCCGCAACGAAATAATTCAGAAGATTTTAATAGAGGAGAAGGAAAAAAAACATTAGTTTTCCCTTCCCTCGGTGAATTTATGCAGGAGACATAATGACTTAAGCCTAAAGGCACAAAAGAGACTGTACGACTGGGAGAAGCCCAGTCGCCAAGCATCACGGAGAATTTGACTAAATATCTACCAAATGGGTCTAAGTGTGACTTGCTTTCAATAATATATCAAGGTCACCAGGTCTGTATAATAAACTGCTCCTGATGCAACAATTAAATTATCTAACATAATGTTCCGTTGCCAGAGATCACACTCCCATACGTGTGTGGTGGGCGAACTCGTCATATTGCAAGTTCGCTGTCGAACATTGACACCATGGTGAATCAACTTTGCTTTTGGACTCGTACACAAAACTGCGATGCGAATTCGCAACGCAGAAAATTACGACACGAATTGCTGCGATGCGATTTCGTGCGACAAGGCGTCTCCCAGTGTGACTTTTGCTTCAACGACCGTCAACCGTACTCAACGTATTTTAAATTGAAAACTATGTCGTGACATGGATCGTAAATGCAAAAGAAGTGTGCGTTTTCGTTATTGCTTAGGAGATACAGGAAAAAGAAACAATGAAGATTTTGGGAAGATAAGATTTTGTTGCGCGATGAGATGCGTAGATGAGCTCGCACATTTTTGCGATGTAACATCGTATCGCAGTTTTGTGTACAAGCCCTTTTAAGTAGTAGTAATATAAAAGTTACTTACTTTTTAGGTTATTGCAAATGTTATGAGGAAATGGTGTCCATCAGTCCATCTTGTATGACTCCAAGTCTTGACCAAGTATTTCATTATTGAATTGGTAAGTACGTCACATAATTATTTGTGGTTGACATTTCCTAATAAAACAGTGTTCCAAACATTTAGATTAGATCGTGCTTTTTTCGGAGATGACAAATTCATTCAGATTAAAGTGATGCTCACTATAAATGTTTCATAAACAGTCTTCATAGCGTGCCTCGATATTTTCTTCTGATATATATTTTCCTTGAAGAAGCGAACTTACAACACATTGGGCTATAGCCGATGGTGCAGCTACTTCGTCAACTGTGTAGTCAAACAATCGGATTATACCTCTATTCAGAAATGGGACCGTCCATTAATCACGAGATATTTCATTAGAACCTTTAACCCCTACTCCAACTAAAATCAAATGCATTTTAGTATCTACAAAGAATCTTAAATTTTTAAATTTATATAGTATATAATCTAGTTTTATTCTAGAAAAGTATGGACCAAGATAAAAAGTACCAATAAAAATCTTATTTGTACGAGTACATTAACAGTATTTAATAGACATACATGTTCATTTGCAACTGCGGACTACTGAACGGGTTCCTAGGGCTTCGAAACGAAGCAGAAGTAGGAACGGGTCGGTTTTAGTCAGTAAGAGCAGTGATTAATGGATGGCCCCACGACATATTCATACCTATATTTAATAATATCTAGTTGGTCGTGAAGGCGTGAGTGGCAAGTCTGACTCTTGAGCTGGTGCTGCAGATGAAGGCGCAGCAGGTTTTCCTGCAGGTGGAGCGCCGCCGGAGGAGGCGGCGGCACCACCTTCACCCGGTGGTGGCTCTGGGTTCGGTAACCAACCCCTAATGAAACAAGATAAGTACATTAAAATAAAATGTTTAAAAAAATCTAAAGTGGGAGAATCGTTCGGTTTAATCGGAGTGATAGCACGGCCTCACAGAACTTGCTTGTATGTTACACCTTGGAATGAGCAAATAGCTTCACTTTTAATATTATTTTTATTTTGACGTTCAAAAGTGCCATTCTGGCCTAATTGAAATAAATGATTTTGACTTTGACTTTGACTTTGAATATCTTAAAATTACGAGCAAAAATTCATTTTTATATTATACCCAACTTTCGTGAGACATACTAGGTTAAACCAAAGCCATGCTAGAGGCTCATATTCTATAGACTAGCTACTTCCGCGCGGTTTCACTCGCTCTGCTCGGCGCCTATTTATCGTAGTGTAATATTTTATAGCCTATAGTCTTCCTCGATAAATTCCTCCTTCGAAAATAGAATTTTTCAAATCGGACCAGTAGTTTCGGAGATTAGCGCGTTCAAACAAAAAAACAAACTCTTCAGCTTTATAATATTAGTATCTATATTGAGGAATATGAGCCTCTAGCATCTAAGCTTTTTTTTTTTAAGGGGGAAAATCATCGAATGACTTCTCCCGCGTGGGTGAGGCGGGAGGGAGTGTCAGACTCTTACTGACTAAAAACCACCCCGTTCCTTCTCCTGCACGTCGAGCCGGAGCCCCGGTTACCCGTTAGGTTCTCCGCGACAGCATCTAAGCTTAGCATGGCTTGAAACTAGTCCAGTTCTTTATCAAATAATTACGTGAGTAATCCGAAAAACATAAACACTTTTTTTGCTGAGTACATTTGTTACATAGTCGTACCTTCGTTTCTTATCAGAAAATTGCAGTGAAAACTAAAGTTCATACACAGTTTACAAGCACGGCTTCGGCACAGCGCTTTTTGCTTTAGAAAAAATACAAAAAGCGCACAACAGCGCACTTACAGCTTTTTATATTAATGTTATGAAATATGCCATATGACATAAGATGTCATGTTCAAATTTCAATGACAAGTTATTTGCTGGATTGGAGCCGTGCCGAAACCGTATCGGTTAAGTGTAAAGTTACCTTAAACGTGATGTATGTCAGTAATAAAGCAATACACACAGTAACAATGATTTTAATCAAGTACTAAATTCTAATCAATAAAACAAACCTACGAAATAACGTCAAACTGCCAATAAGAAGTATAATAAAGTAAAATCAAAGAAATAATAAAGTTTGTTGCTCGTCTGAATAATGTTATTACAAACGGTATCATAGGAAATATAGTACCTCTAGAAAAATATTTTGTTTAAAAATGTACCACTATTAGTTTCTATTCATCAGTCTAACACTTCATTGTCTTCGGGTTCATCAGGAACTGGTATTTGAAGATCTTCAAGTTCAAGAACTTCAGAAACAGGTATTTGAAGATCTTCAGGACCAGAAAGTTCAGGAACTTCAAGATATTCAGGAACAGGTATTTGAAGATCTTCAAGAACAGACTTGTTACTATCTCCAGGAGATATACGACCACAGGAGTTAGACGTGATTTAAATATAAAGTATATAATCGAGTTTTATCCTAGAAAAGTATGGCAAGACAAAAAGTACCAATAAAAATCTTACTTGTACGAGTACATTAACAGTATTTAATAGACATACATGTTCATTTGCAACTGCGGACGACTGAACGGGTTCCCAGGGCTTCGAAACGAAGCAGAAGTAGGAACGGGTCGGTTTTAGTCAGTAAGAGCAGTGATTAATGGATGGCCCCACGACATATTTCATACCTATATTTAATTATATCTGGTTGCTGGTAAAGGCGTGAGTGGCAAGTCTTGAGCTGGTGCTGCAGCTGAAGGCGCAGCAGGTTTTCCTGCAGGTGGAGCGCCGCCGGAGGAGGCGGCGGCACCACCTTCACCCGGAGGTGGCTCTGGGTTCGGTAACCAACCCCTAATGAAAAAAGATAAAAACATTAAAATAAAATGTTTAAAAAATATCTGAAATGGGAGAATCGTTCGGTTTAATCGGAGTAATAGCACGGCCTCACAGAACTTGCTTGAGTTGTTTCGTCATGTGAGTAAGCTATCGGAGGAACAATAATTCTCCCCTCTCATCCCCAATCCCCCAGGCCGGCAACTAGCTTCAAATAATAGGGTAGTTTCCTTAAATTTCGGCTTTGCCCATGGACAGCTGGAACACCAGAGGCGTTAGAAGTGCGTTACCGGCCTTTTGGGTATTAAGGGTTTGAGGATCGTTGGGGATTCAGGGATTGGAGAGATTGGGGACGGGAGGGTAATTGGGCCACCGGTAACCTCACTAACACGACGAAACACAACGCAAGCGTTGCTTCACGTCGGTTGTCTATGAGGCCGTGGTATCACTCCGGTCGAGCCGGCCTATTCATGCCGAAGCATGGCTCTCCCCCACTTAGGTTCTTTCAAATACTTCAAATTGCATATAAAACGGTTGAGTAACTTTTCCTTGGAAAGTGCAATAAGTAAATATTGATATAGTCGGCTCGTCGCCACCTGCACACACAATGCACTACGGCAGCACTGTTTATTTACAAGTTTAGTACCTAGACTAGGCGTTTCGAGTTTTCTCTTAGAAACCTAGTTTACTATCTGAGACCTGAGTACACGGTATTACATGATATAGATAAATGTGATACAGACAGCAATAAAGTTCTTAATGCATAGAGTTTATATTTAGTTAATAAAATATTTATTTCATTTACCTCCCAATCATATATTATTGTTTTCTAGAATTGTAATATTGTGGCATATTCAAAACAACTTCCTTCTACTAGAAGGAAATAATGGAAGCAGGAGTCATCGTACGACATAACAATAATACTAATTACCTTAGTATATCATAGTCTATAGAAAAACAACAGAAAAAAACAAATTAAATAATAAATCAGTTTTGTATACATTCAGAACTGTCGCGGAGAACCTAACGGGTAACCGGGGCTCCGGCTCGACGTGCAGAAGAAGGAACGGGGTGGTTTGTAGTCAGTAAGAGTCTGATACTCCTTCCCGCCTCACCCAGGCGGGAGCAGCAATTCAATGATTTTCCCCCCTTAAAAAAAATACATTCAGAACTAGTAGGCAGCACATGAGCCACAAGACATTCAGTGATACGTAGGCCTTCCTTCATTAATTAGTAATGTATACTGGACAGGCCGTTGCCATTAGCCATTTAACTAACATCCTAATTTATCAGCCGTTTGATTGAATGGCTGAATTTCCTGTTCAGGCTGTTACTTAGAAAGGAGAAGAGATTGTCATTAAAATCGAGTTGTTACCAGAATGGAAACCTAACCAAACTTCATTTGTTCGGTTAAACTACGACCCGCATAGAAATAACATAATATAACATCATGCCTTTTATCTCCGAAGGGGTAAGCAGCGGTGCACATTTACGGCATTTAATGCCACTGTACAATGTAATAGGGGCGAGCCTATTGCCATACCGGACACATTTCCAGATTCCGTGCTACTACAGAGATTTAAAAAAACCCAGTTATACTTTGCCCGACCCGGGATTCGAACTCGAGACCCCTTGCCGGGAAGTCACACTTGAGACCACTCGGCCAACGAGGCAGCATAGAAATAAACAACGGCGATACCATTTATTGAACCGGCTAGGCCGTTTGTTGAATGGCTTGTTAAGCTAGTTGAATGTAATAGACACATTCTTTAATTAATTCCCAGATGCAATTAAAAAGACTACAATATCTTAAACTTAACGAGCAAAAATTAATTATATTTATATTATACCCAACTTTCGTGAGACATACTAGGTTAAACCAAAGCCATGCTAGAGGCTCATCTTATTCTATTATATAAAGCGGAAGAGATTGTTCTTTTGTTTGTTTGTTTGAACGCGCTAATCTCCGTAACTACAAGTCTGATTTGAATAATTCTTTTCGTGTTGGATAGCACATTTATCGAGGATGGCTATAGGCTATAACACATATCACGCTACGACCAATAGGAGCTGAGTAGAGCGTGTGAAACCGCGCGGAAGTAGCTAGTATACTATATAGATAGAGGAATATAAGCCTCTAGCTTGGCTTGAAATTAGTCGAGTTCCTTGTCAAATAATTACGTGAGTAAGTCGAAAAATATAATAATTACTTTTTTTACTAAGTACGTATTTTTTACAATGTCGTACCTCCGACTTATTTGACTTTGAACTTGACTTTGACGGTCAATAGTACGTGTTACTATTTGATTACTGAGTCATACATCAGGCCTGTCTGTTGTGTAAGTACTGTTTCAATGTCATTTCATTTATGCTCGTTTTACTAACATTACAGTGAATATTTTAATAGAGCTGTATTATGAAAAGCTGGTTCGTAGCTATTTAATAGTAGAATTGGGATGATGACAGGGTATGAAAATTAAAAATCTAATTAGTCCGTAAGTTAGTTAATGGAAAAATAATAGACACGTATTTTTTGTTTCGTCGCTAATCGTCATTTCTAAGTGTAAAATGTACATAGAAGTGACGTCAAGCGACATTTCAAATCAATATATCGCCGAAAGAGTTCGTTTCTGTAAGAAAATAAAAAATACGTGTCTAATGATTTAAAATAATCTACAAGACGGACATTCAAATAAAAATTAGGCATCTACCTTTAGGTAACTGCCTCGTTGACCGAGTGGTCGCAAGTGCGACTGCCGGGCAAGGGGTCTCGGGTTCGATTCCCGGGTCGGGCAAAGTATTACTTGGGTTTTTAAAAATTCTCAGTAGTAGCACGGAGTCTGGAATTGTGCCCGGTATATGGCAATAGGCTCACCCCCTATTACATGGGACTCATAACATAAATAGTGAAAAGTGGGTGTTACATTGTACGGTGGCATAATGTGCACCTCTACCTACCCCTTTGGGGATAAAAGACGTGATGTTATGTTATGGTACCCTTAGGTATTGTTATATGGGTTATTCGATAATTAACCCATGGTATGGAGCGTAGATATACGCGAGACACAATGTGTTGTCTATTGTGTCTCATATATCGGCAGATAAGAGGTTAAAGAAGAGAAAAGAAATGAAAGAAAAACAACTTTATTCGACGTGTTCAAAGCAAGTGACAAGCACAGATTATAGTATTAGTTTACAAGTACTGATGGGTATATGTTCATGCCCCAGATCTGCGGTGAAAAGGAACCAATGAAATAGTTGTACGACAAAAACAACGACTGATGTTCAAAATGTAGGAAATTTCCTAATAAATAAATAAATAAATAAATAAATAAGTAAATAAATAAATCTTTATTCATTATAATAAATTGGTCATAGTACAAATCCTTACAAGCCTTAAATTTTAACATGTTTAAAAATAAACTCAAACGTTTGTTACATAAGAAATGTTATTATAATATAGAAGATTTTTTGAAAGATAAATTAGATTTGTAATACAATTAACATAATTTTGTTGTTTCTGTAACGGTTAATATTGTCTTCTATGTCTTTTTTGCTTATTAAGGTTTGCATGTATATATTTTTTTCACTACCTGCTTTAATATTAAATTATAATTTTAAATATTTGTACGCCAAAACGGCATAACATGTAGCTCATACTCCTAACTTAACACCATTGCATGTACTCTTGTAATAATACTCATGTTAATGCAAATAAAAATATCTTTATCGTTATCTACAGATAAACATCTCAATTTGAAATCTCAGATCTCAATAAGTTTGATGCCTGTATTAGGAAGAATATACTGTATCATACATAGGCGAAAGGAGCACTTACAATATTACTAACAATATTAAAAACCAAGTCAAAATTCAAACAATTTCGTGACATAATTTTATTATTGCAGTAAATAGTTATGTCATAACTAGAGGTATAACCAACATGGCGTGACTATAATTAGAATTACACTAATCAGAGGTCAGTGAATAACTGAATTAGCACCCAAAGAGGTATGTGCTAACAAACGAACAGACAAACATGCGCTAAATGCAAGATGTTGTATCTCGACATTAAGTCAACGGTCATTTAAAATAAAACTTTAAATAAAACCACATAAAGCTCATACTTCAAACAACACTAGAGATTTTGCAATCAACTGCAAATGTAAACATAAAAAGGTCTTATAAATTCCCAATGAAATGCAATTGTAAATTTAATACATGCAAAATTAGAGTTTATTTTCACTTGTTATGCTTCTAGGAATATGTTTATGGTTCTATAATCAAAGCAGTGCGATTCATAGAGTTTCCTACGTTTCTTATCAGAAAATTGCAGCGGCAGTGAAAACTGAAGGTCATATACACTTAACAAGCACGGCTGCGGCGCGGAGTTTTTTGTTTTAGAAACAATACAAAAAGGTTGTAAGCTGTCGACGCGATTACAGCTTTTTATTATAATGTTATGAAATATGCCATATGACATAAGATAGCATGTTAAAATTTCAATGACAAGTTATTTGCTGGATTGGAGCCGTGCCGAAACCGTATCGGTTAAGTGTAAAGTTACCTTAAACGTGATGTAGGTCAGAAATAAAGCAATACACACAGTAACAATGATTTTAATCAAGTACTAAATTCTAATCAATAAAACAAACCTACGAAATAACGTCAAACTGCCAATAAGAAGTATAATAAAGTAAAATCAAAGAAATAATAAAGTATAGGTTTGTAGCTCGTCTGAATAATGTTATTACAAACGGTATCATAGGAAATATAGTAGAAAAATATTTTGTTTAAAAATGTACTAGTATACTAGTTTCTATTTATCAGTCATCAGCTAACGCTTCAGTGTCAATGGCTTCGGGTTCATCAGGAACAGGTATTTGAAGATCTTCAGGTTCAGGAAGTTCAGGAAGTTCAGGAACAGGTATTTGAAGATCTTCAGGATCAGGAATTTCAGGAACTTCAGGAAGTTCAGGAACAGGTATTTGAAGATTGTCAAGAACAGACTTGCTACC